ATATATAATTTTTTTAAGTAGAAGACTGAAGAACAGGTGAACAGGAACTTCAGAATCTCTTTGGATAGCGATAGGACAGGAACAGAACAGAATAAATAATAAAGTTGGAAAGGACCTTAGAGGTCTTCTAATCCAACCCCTTGTTCAGGCAGGAAACCTAATACTATTTTCAGACAAATGGTTGTCCAATCTCTTCTTAAAAACTTTCAGTGTTGGAGCACCCTTCTTGGAGGCCAGCCGTTCCACTGATTGTTCTAACTGTTAAGAAGTTTCTTCCTTAGTTCTAGACTGCTTCTCTCCTTGATTAGGCTCCATCCATTGGTTCTTGTCCTGCCTATTTTGGAGAATAGATATACGTCCTCTGGATGCTGCCTCTTGTGAGGGAACTGCAGGACAATGGTTTCCTGTGGGTTTGAGTGTTGAGAGACAAAGGGATCGGCCATCTTGCTCACAACTGTCACAGAGCCTTTTAAAGAACACCATGTTTGCAAGCCTCACTTTCTAACCACTTTTAGAAATCGGTTATTAATCATTTTAAAGCTATTATAGACCTTTGGAACAACAAGTTTGAAAAATTATAAATGTAAGGACTTAAGATATTTTGAAATGAACAGTAAAAGACTAAGAATTTGATTTATTTTCTCAATAGATTAAGGATTTGGATAAATTTAGAATATTGCTAAGATTTTGGAATTGGCTATGAATTGGTTTCTTATGGAAAACAGTGATATATTGACTATTCTGGCTATTGTAAACCACAACAAAGGTAAGTTACTTTAGGATTTCAGAAGCTGGACACCAGTTTAAACTTTAAAGGGGGATTAGATATTCTGAGCAGAAGAATAAAAATACAAGTCTGTTATTGATGTCAATTAATACTGGGACTTACAAAATGACAGAAACATAACATCAGAAATATTAAAGGAGATCTCTAAAGAATGAAGCCAGAAGTTGGTAGCTATATTATCGACAGTATCACTAATGATGTTTGATTCTGTGGATAGATTGTGTCCAGAAGATGTCAATGAGGGAATGACTGGTTTATAGCAAATGTTATCTGACAAGATAGACAAAGTACCAGAAGTGGAACTACAGATGACACTCCAAGAGAATAATCTGAAAAAGATCCTTTTTGGATATACAAAAGAAACTCCCTGATGTTTGAAAACTTAAAAGGAAAATATAAATAGAGAATGATCTGGGAAATATTTTCTTACTAGATCTACAAAGGAGGCATATTAAACCCTTAAAAGAAATTTTGTGCAATGGGATAAAGAGAAATTAAATCCTATAATAATGCTTGATTGAATTAGAGATTAAGATTGTTAGAAGTAAAAGGAACCAATATAAAGTTGATTTATTTAATCAAGAGTCAGTTTGGTGCATGGATGTTCAAGCTTCTGGCTTGCCTCAGCTACATTGAGTAAAGAGGAATTGTCTTGGGCCAAATATAAAATGCATAATTAAGTTAATATATGTAAATCACATAATAATGTTAAAACTTTGCGATCTTGTGAGGATGCATTACTACCTGTCCAGGGGCGCATGCAGTTCATGGGTTACAGATTAGACATGCCTTGTCTAGTAATTCAGTCACCAGGATAGAAAGTAAGAGTTCGTGAGTTCAAGTCCCTCCCTAGCTATGAAAGCCAGCTGGGTTACTGGGCCAGTCTCTCAACCCAAAACAATCACACAGGATTCTTGTGCTGGAAAAATAGGAGGAGGAAGATGTATTGGATATGTTTGCTCCCTTGAGTTATTTATAAGAACAATAAAGGTGGGATATAAATACATAAAAACATAAAAGTGAGACCATTTTTTTTGCCAAGTTCTGGCAATTCTTTCTGGACATTTTTCTGATCCCAGGACTGAAAAGTTTATATTTTATGAATTTATTTATAGATAAGGAATGGGATATGGGATGAAGAGATAATCCTTTTGTAACCTGAAAAGGAGCTAAAAGTTACTAAACTTGTTGATATTTGTTGTGATAAAGGTTGGATGTCACTACTTCATGTTTTTTTTCTTTCCTGTACATTTTCTTCTTCTTTTTCCTCCTTTGTCTTTATCTAAGTTTAGTTTGTATTGTTTTTACTATTATAATCAAAATTCTTATTAAAATTATATTAAAAAAGAAAACAGTGAAACCACACAGCTCTGCCTTATTGGCAAGGGCTGACCCCCAAGTTTCTGGATGCAGTTCAGAGTGCCGGTTTTAACCTTTAAAGCAGCGGTCCCCAACCTTGGCAACTTTAAGCCTGGAGGACTTCAACTCCCAAAATTCCCCAGCCAGCAAAGCTAGGGACATCTGTCCTCACTGTGAGTTGTGTTGGGGATAGGTGCACGAAGGGAGACTCAGCCAATCTCATTGTACACATGTTGTACTTTGACAATAAAGGTAATAATAATAAGAAAAACAAATCTGCCTCTGCCGCCCTGCCGCCTGGAACGGGCCAGAAACGGGGCACACAGAGGCCAAAAACAGGATGCGGGGGCCGAAAATGGGGTGCACAGAGGCAACAATAGGCCATGGCGATCCCTGCAGCCTGAAATAGCTGATTGTCAGGAGGCTGATCCGACTGACAATCAGCTGCTTGTGCTAATCAAGCTGTGCTGAACCTGACCAGGCTGTTTGTGCTGCAAGGAGGCAAATTGCTGGGAGGCAGAGGCCAAAGGATGTGGTCTGGTGGGTGGGCAGGGCTTCGGCAACATTCGCTGTATAAGATGCACAAAGATTTCCACCCACTTTGTGGGGTGGAAAAAGTGTGTCTTATACTCCGAAAAATACGGTATATACCACTCCACAGTGCTTTACAGCCCTTTCTAAGTGGGTTACTGAGTCAACATATTGTCCCCAACAATGTGGGTCTTCATTTTACCAACCTTGGAAAGATGAAAGTCTGAGTCAGCCTTGAGCTGGTCAGGATCGAGTGCCTGGAACTCCTGGAGTGAGTGGTGAGTTAGCCTGCAATACTGCATCCTCACCTCTGTGCCACCACGGCTCCTGGCCTGACCCTTCATAAGGCAGCCGTTGGCTGTGCCAGGCCTTCTTCCTGAGGCTGTACGAGGCCTTGTCCAAATTGTGTGGAGCCTTCTCACAAGACTTAGAAGCAAAGTGAGCAAAGCACAGGGTGGCAAGACCAGTAGAGGGGGAAGGGCAGGGCAGCCGAAAGAGCAGAGATGGGTGGAGTTGAAGAAGAGGAAGTCCCTTAGCTTACTGAGACTTGGGGCTGGGAGGGACCAAGCCAGGAATGTGTTGAATTGGGTGGGATTTGGTTAACAACAGCAGCCAAGAATGCTTGAGTTGCTATTGTTAAATGATGCAGTCATGTGACACGGAACTTTATAACCATATTGCTTAGTGATGGAAATTTACAGTCCCAATTACATTAGTTAACTGAAGACTGCCTGTGTACTCAAACTAGTTTTAGTATTCATAACTTTGGGATTCAAGTCAGGTCTACCTTTGGCTGGCAGGCTGTTGGTTATTCCCCACTTCCATGATGCAAGCAGGCTTGACCTAAGATATGCTGTTTTTTTTCATTATGGCCCCAGATTGTATATTTGCAGTCTCCTCTTACAAATTACATTGGCCTGTCCTTTCAAAATCATTCTGGAGGATAATAAAGACAGATCATGCTGATGAAGATTAAACATTAATTATGTAACTACTGAGGGTAATAATGCAGTTTTATTGGATTAGTTGGTAGCTTATTTAGTAATTTAAGAACATAACAGTGCCTACTGGATTGGGCCCTGTCCCATCAGTCAATTCTCACAGTGGTCAACCAATTGCACAAAAACATCCAGGAAAAAATCTTACTATTGTCTGAAAAGAACAAGCCATTAAGAAATCAAAGTTTGAAGGTTTTTTGGAGGGCAAGTACTATTATTATTAATAGAACACAGCTGGAAGGGGCCTTGGAG